AACAAGATAGAGCTCCTTTCAATTCTTTTCATATTTTTAAAATGAAAATCTCACTTTCCCTATAAATTCCATTGAAACTTTCCTATAGCTCCAGTGAGGAATGTATCTTGGCTGCAACATAGTTTGGTTTTTTTTCTGGAACTTTACTCTGAAGATTTTTTAGAGTGTCAGAACATTATCAAGAATATTGAACTGACCTAAGTAAATTAAACCAGCACTACAGTAGAAGCTATATCAAACAATGTTACAGAAGAGTGAAGCAGCACTCCAGTTAAGGCAGTATTCTGTAATAAAGTGAAATGACAGGCAACACAGATATTAGCACATGAATAGGAAGGTGGATGGAGTATTAACAATGTCAGGTCAAGAAAAGATGTATTGTTCAAATAACTCTCTAAGTGAACAAACTTACTGTTTTGTGAGGGTTTTTTACTCAAAGCACAGTATTGGCAGCAAATGAGAGAGGTGTTGGTAATGCTTTATCCTTTATGTGGTCTCCTGGTGTTAACATCTCTTCTGTTCTTCAGCTGTAAACAAGAATCAATTTCAGTCTCATAGTGAGGGAAGGCAAAAGAACTCATTTTCATGAGCACATGCAGAGAGATCATGTTTTGGTCAACTTTCCCTGCTGTTCATCAACATCAAGAAACCTTCAAGCTGTGCTGAAGTTAGCACTAACCCCAAGTCTCTCCCACCTGGCACCTGCTGGGGTCCTACCCCTGTGGGGACACATTGAGCTCAATGAAGGGGAAACTGAGCTGCTGAATGAAACCTCATGAGTAGGGAGAGAGGCAGTATTTCTCACCTCCTCTGTGGTGTATATTTTCCATAGGTTTGCTTTTGCCTGTGCCCTTCTCAACATGGGATCACTGACCTCTGGGTGTATCTAGGTCCTATAGACAACAAGGCATCAAGTTTGCATATTCTGAATTGCTTGGCGGAGTATCTTTCCATTAGTGGTAAAGGGAGCCAACACACCTAATTTAGGCTTTTTCAGTAACCTGCGATGTCATCTTCAGTATTCTTCTGGATTAAGATTCCTAATTTTCAGGTAAATCCCTACTTCAGCAGAATTTAGGCAGTTTGGTCTTTTAAAACCTAGGTTTTAAACCCTTTGCCATTTTACCTCTTGGCGTCCCAACAAGCTGAGACAGAGGTCCACAAAATACCATGGGATTCCATAACAGAGTGGCTTAGCAACCTGAAGGAGAGTCCTCACCTTTAACTGAAGCAATGTCTAGTCATTCCCTTTGAGATGATTTGAAAGTTTAGGTACAGATACACAATTCTGCACAATCTAAGCATAGCAAGTTGCCTTTTAAACCAAAAAGGGTATAAAGTAATGAATTTTACCTTATGAAAGGGCAATCTAACAAAGCATTGTGACACATACTAGAGGTGGTCACATACTGAATTTCAGTTTGCTCATTACCAGCTGTTACCTAAATCCAGCTTCTGAGTTTCTGTATATCAAGAATCTCAAGCTGTAGTTCCCCACATGCCACTTTTTTTTATTGACCACATTTCACACATTCAAGTTTGAATATGATGGTCTTATAACTTTCTACTGGATTTATTGTCACTTCAGAAACATGGAAAAATGGGGAGGAGAATTTGTAATACATTATGAAAGTCGTACATAACATCCAAAATTCAGAGATACAGCCCTCACCCCAATGCTACAGACAATGTAAATTGATTTTCAATAGTGCATAAAAGTAGAGATTGTGCTTTTCACTCTAATCCAGGCAAGCAGATTTGTGATCACACTGGATGTTCTGTGGGGGCTGTATGCTTCAGTGGGGGCTGGAATGGGACAAAAGTCATAGGGTTTGGTTTTTTTGAAGGAGAGAGCATAGGCTAGGGTAAGGTGGTGGTAAATGTCTTGTTGGCCTAAGAGGAAACATATTTACAGCTGCTTGGAGATTCCTTGACAGTAAAGCATGTGCCAGAACAAAGATCTAGGCAGCCTGGTAAAAGGAGAACCTCAGGTGTTCCTGCAGACAGAAACAATATAGGAAGAACCACCAACAACTATTAGATCACACTAGGTCAAAGCATTGACCTAGTTAATTGTAGTTTAGCTTTCAGCAACAGAAATAATAAAATATTCTGTTGGTTTTATTCAGGAGTACTTTTAAGGTGAAAAGCAACCACTAGATTATAAATCAATTGTGAAGAATTTTGTATCTTGCACTTAAAAAAAACATGCTTTTGTTGGGATTGATTTGTTTGTTTGACCATAAGAGTAGATTTGTCTTTTGCTATCCAGAACAGTCTAACATCTGAATTTTATCCAGTGGACAATCACAGTTTAATCAGCTACTTTTGCTGTAGGTTGCATTGTCTGTTGTAAACTTTGGTTCTCATAATGCCTTAATGCCACTAGCTTGAAGCACGTAGTAGTAGTACTTGCTGTTGTATCCCTGTGATGGTACTTACACAATGTAATCTTCTCACCTCTTTTCCTGAAAAGCTGGATAGATTGGGCACCTGAAATCTCTCCCCAGAGAGGAATTACTTCAAATTGTTTTTAGGATTTCTTTCATAACCTTCTCTATTATTTCAACATCCTTCTTAAAATGCAGATACTAAAACTGGACTGCTTCCAGTATCTGCTTCACTGATGCTTCATGCAGAGAGAAAATCACTTCCCTACTCCTATTTGTTATTCCTCTGAAATATCTGAGAATAGCTGCATCCTCTTTAGGCCCCTTTTCCCTTGGAGTATGGCATGATTCCTTCCTACTCTGATGCCCAAATCCCTCCTTGTGTGCAGAGTAAACCCCAGTCTTCCCAGTTCTGCTCCAGGTGGCCAGCAGTTTTGGTCACCTGGATTCATATTTTTGCATCAAGCTCTATTAAAACATGTTCTGTTTCAACTAAGCTCGTCTTATCTGGTCCTTCATAGGTGTAATTAGAATGTCACGTAGCACTGAATAACACCCTTTTCAAAAACCTGTTGTGGCCATGGCTGTGTAACTTCACCAGCCACACCGAGAGTTTCCTCACAAAACCATGAATCATGTTGGCTTGGCAGGCCACTTCCCATAAACACAAACTTCATCCATACATTGGAGTTTTTTCTCTCTTGTTTTTCTTGGGGTTGGTTAACATTAAGCCAAACAGCCTGTAACTACCTGGTCACCATAATCAGTTTCTCTGGATCTTCTCAGGAAACTGAATGCCCAACCTGTCAAGATTTTCCTGTTGTGCCCAGATTTACTTGTAGTAGTGTCAGAGAGATTGTTATTCTCTTCACCTTCCTGCCCACTCTTTTGGGATTCATATGTGCCATTTTTCTGGGTCTGCTGTTTTTTTTTATGTTCTGAGGAGGTGCTGCTGCTTCTCTCTGTTATGAGTCAATAATCTGGCAAACATGTCCTCCATTTCCTTCCATATATGAACATGAAATGCTTATTGATCATTTATACCCTTTTTTATTTGAGGGCTTCTTACTCTTCCAAATATATATAGGCCTTATTTGCCATAGCCCACCCAGGGCTTTTTCTTCCCTCATAAAATCTACACACTTTCCAGTTAATGTTGATTGCAATCAACGTTCGTCTCTCAATGTTAGTTCTATGTGGTATTTTTTTTCTTCTCAGTTGCTGGTTTCACTTCTCCAGCAATGAGCTTTCAAGGAAAGTTGTCCTCTTGTTTGACAGCAGACTTTTTGGCAACCTACTGTATTTCCTGTAAACTTCTTTATTTCACCTGTACATTTTTCTCTCAAATTAACTTTTTCCAGCATCTGAGTGTGTAAATTATGGTTAAGACTGTCATCTGTTCACCTACATCAGTGGCAGCTATGAACATAAAATATAAACAGGCAAATCCTGACACTAGTGAGGTACTCAGGAAGGGTAATTCTAGCAGCAGACTTTAATAACAAAGAGGCTAAAGCAGGCAGGATCTATTTATCTTGTGCAACATACTTTTGTTACTAAACATACTTATAGAAAAGCAGAACTTTTGCTACTTGCTTGCACTGTGATAGACAGTCAGTTGTGGTTTGACCTTCTTGAAAGGCATCCAAGTCCTGGCCAAAATTCTTTTGGGGTGTTTTATAACAAAAAAGTCCCCAGGTCTGGATTTTCACTGAGCCAAAATTAAACTATTCCTTTCTGCCCATGTCCATAGAGTATTCCCAGAGAGTGGCTTTGTCATTCTTTGAGGTTTCACTTTTGAGGTTATCCATGTACCTTTGAGTCACACACTCGATTTTGGTAAACATGCCTGTCATTATCAGCCAAAACCGTATAGGAAGTAATGTTTTCAGTTTGTGTTTTAAAGCTTGATACAAAAGCAATTATCCATCCCTCTGACCTGAAACATAAAGTAGTAGGAGCTGCGTGGCATAATTGCACTATAACGTTCAAGTTATAATAGATAAGGCTTTCTAATTCATCCTGCAGAGGTCAGAAAGAGAGCCGGGCAAAATAAATCGAAGTTAAAACCAGGAATCGGAGTGTGACCGACTTAATCCTCAGGGAGAACCTGCGGCTCCTCCGGATCCGCCTGCAGGTGGCGCTGCGGGCGCTGCGAGCGCTCCTCCCGCTCCGGGCAGCCCCTCCGCCCCGCACCCCGGGGAGCGCAGCGCAGCCCCGCCGGCGGGACGCGCCGGGCCTCCGCAGGGGCCGGGCACGGAGCGGGAGCGGCACCGCGCCTTTGTGCGTGTGGAAACATCCCCCCTCCTCTTCTCTCTTCTCCTCTCCTCTCTTCTCCGCGCCTTACCCCGCCAGCCCGCTGGGCTGCCAGCAGCGGCGAGGGAGGGGAGAAAGGGGCAGGAAGAAGCTGAGGGAGAGGGGAGGGCGGGGACCGGGCGAGCGCGAGGAAATCAAACGGGCCCGGCATGAATTAGGCAGTGGGGAGAGCTCCTTCCCGCTGCTTCCATCCCTCCTTCTCCGTTCCCGCACGGCGGGAGCAGCGCCGCCCCGCGCGGAGCGGGTGCGTGCACACACCACACGCACACACAACCCCCCCGCACACCGCACGCACGCACACCACCGAGCCCGGCGGGGCGGGCTGGGCCGGGCCGGGCTGGGTTGGGGCGGGGGGGGGGGGCCGTCAGATGAAGATGGCAATGTCTGTGATCCAAGCGTGCCGCAGCCTGGCTCTCTCAACATGGCTGCTGTCCTTTTGTTTCGTGCATCTGCTGTGCCTGGACTTCACCGTGGCCGAGAAGGAGGAGTGGTACACGGCCTTCGTCAACATCACCTATGCCGACCCGGCGGCCGGCAGCGCCGAGCTCCGCAGCGAGAAGAGCGAGTGCGGGCGCTACGGCGAGCAGTCGCCTAAGCAGGACGCCCGCGGGCAGGTGGCCCTCTCCGCCTCGCCCGCAGACCGCTACGCTTGTGACCCCGGCACCCGCTTTAACGCCCCGGCGCCGGGTAAGAGCTGGGTGGCCCTCATCCCGCGGGGCAACTGCACCTACAAGGACAAGATCCGCCACGCCGCCGCCCAGAACGCCTCTGCCGTGGTCATCTACAACGTGGGCTCCAGCAATGCCAACGAGACCATCACCATGCCCCATGCAGGTGAGCCCCGGCACCCTGCATGTGCTCCGTGGGTGCACCCTGAGATCTGGGCTGGGTGGACAAGTGGGCCCTGTTTTACTGCATGTGCAGCCTGCTTTGCTGCCCCATATCCTTGGGATGGGAGCTGATGGGGGGGGGAATGTGCTCTCACACCTCCTGGCAGGGAGCAGGAGAGGCTGTGGGCCTCGCTGAGCAGTGGGTGCCCATCCTAGGGGCTGTGGAGCACCTCTCCATGCTGCCATGGCAAAGGATGAATGTGCTGCTGGAAGCAGAACGTGCTTGGTGCTCCAGGGGTGAAAAGTTTGGGAGATGTAAAGTTTTGGTCTAGTCGGAGGAATGGATGGGACCCTGAGCCTGCTGTGGGGCACGGATGTTTTGTGGTGTCCTGAGGGTCTTCCTCAGGCAGGTGCTGTGTGGGATCGGGTGTGATTCAGATTGAGACCTTTGGGAGAAAAGCATAGTGTTTATGGTGCAGGCTTGTCAGGATGTGCAATAGAGCAGGGAACACGGTGTCCACTGTCCTGCCTGTGATAGTGTTAAAACTGTGGGATCTAGTAGGGATGCCAAGTATCTGATTTGGTGAGAACATGAGGTATTTTGTCCAGGTAGATTGTTGGGGAGGATGTGGAGGGTGTTCACTCCCCCAGGTGAATGCTCTGTTGGAGTTTGTGTTCGAGTCCCAACATGCGCTCGTCAACTAGAACCAAGCAGAGATCCACCAGGGGAAACAACCCAAACCTCGTGTTGTGCCCACCAAAAAACACCACTGGTTTTGTAACAGTGTTTCATCTGAAATAATGTTGTTTTAAAAACAGATCACCAGATTTGTATTTAGGGATGGTGTTTTCTGCAGGGGTCACTGGTCTTTTATAGCAGCAGCCTATGCCATGTAGACTAAAATGCCACCTATTGTGAAATCTGTTTGGTTTGCATCCAGTAACTTATAATGCCCAGCTGTTTCACGCTAGTTGAATCTTAGCAGAGTTGGGGGTAAATTGAAACACAGAAAGGCTGCAAAACAGGATGTTATTCTAATGACATTTTAAATTTCCACAATAAACCAAGCTAGCATGAATGTGCTGAAAAAACATTTGTTGCCTAACTATCGTGCTATAATACTGCTGATGAAAAAGAAGTGCTTCTGGATCCTCTTGTGTGCAGCCTCTTTAAGAGATTAACCATTTATTTGGGCAAAGTCATGCCTCTCTGGTAGGTTTGGTGGAAAATGAGATTTTTTTTTTAGTGTTTTCCAATGGTTTTGTGAGACAAGCAACTCGTAACCTCTCGAGCTTTTTAAAACTCTGCTTTATAATCTGCACATGGTTTAGTAGCTGTTCAGATTATACTTGTTGGTGCTTTAAGTGTCACAGATTATATACTAAGTAGTATAAAGTAGTAGGAGCTTGGCATACTTATGCACCCTTACAGTAAAGCTCAGTCTGTTTCAAAAGTTAAGATGCATTGCTTGTTCTCATCATAGTGAGTTTCTCTAGAACTGCCAACATGTTGGATCAATTAATGGTTTGCCTGTTTCTGAAGTATTCACTGAGCTGGTTTCCCACACAAATGGTGTTTTATTAAGAAACAGTGGGAGTAAAAAATGTGTGTAACCTTTTAAAATGTTGGCGCTTTTGTTTGTTTTAAAGTCTAAAATGAAGTAAGCAGGGAATCTTTCTTACTGAAGTGGCCTCAGCCTTTGAAAATACGAAACACTCTATCACTTATCTTGGGGGCAGCTTCATTTATGTCAGATGACTCCTTATAGCTTATTCTGAGAATCCTTTTTGAGTACTGAATTGATACCCAGCAGTGTGATTGTACAGTACCAGAGGCTGAAATGAAAGGAAACTTGCAGAAAATCATCCAGACTTGTTGATCACAGTTGGTGAGACTGAAGGGCTTTGCTGGTTGATCGTGTGAGGTTGTCTTCGATTTAAGGATTTTTGTTCTGTGGAGTTGAGAAACCTTAGGGAAAAACCTACATTCTGCAACAGTCAAAACTCAGCAGAGTTTTACAGCATAGGTCTGCTGAAACAGGAGGAAGAATAATTATTCATAAACAAATATTTGACAAACTACCAGGGATTAGAACTGGATTTATCTTTACTCTTCCACCATTACACAGGGACAGAGTGAATATACAAGCTGTGTAAAATTATCTTTCTGACTTGCAGCCTTTGACGTTTGCTTGGTCCCAGTCTAAACGATAGCACAGCACAAGATTCAAGGGAAGAATGAATCAGTTTCTTGGTTCTGAGTTCAGCAGCATATGCAGTGCTCTGCCCACGCCAAATCCTGGAGTGGGAAGAAGAAAATTCCATCCTGGAAAATACTTGGAGGATGAGAGAGAAGGGTGAAATGTGACCTAAAAAGCAATTTAAAAGTTGAAAGAAATATGATGTTACTCTCTCTCTCTCTTTCCCTTTTCCTCCCACAGATTTTTTTTTTTGAGGTTTCATATAAGCTTAAATAAACTCTTTCTATAGAGAAAACAGTATATCCTGTTGCATAACAGTGTGGCTCCTGCCCTTACTAAAGAACTATTACTCCAAAGAGAGATGTTTTTCCTTCTGTACATTCTTCTCTGTATGCTTCACCGCTCTTGCTGATGTTTTTTTTTTAATCTGTGTTTCTTTTTCTGCTGTTCCCACCCCCACTCTGATTTCTTCATCTCTACCCCTTCATTCTCCCTCTTGACCACGTTACTGTGATACTCTTATTTTTGCCCTTGACACTTTCTTCCCAAAGCTCTCTTTCTCTTGCCAAAAACCTTACCTCACAGCTGTATGTTTAATTATATTTCCTGTTTTCTGCTACAATGCATGCCAATGACCCTTTGCTAACGTGATGCCTGCTGATTTCAAAATCTATAAGTAACTGCAGCAAGACACCATTCTTGAATTTGAAGGAGGGTTGGTAAGCCTCCCTGCCCCTGCAACACCCCTAAGCAGAACCAGGGTGGTATTGCATCAAAGCTTGTGGTTGAAATACTCAAATACAACTTTCCAGGATTTATTTATAGTGCACCAGACAAAGTGTACAGTTTGAACCAGTTCAATCACCGTTTTTAAAGCCTTTGCTTTCAGGGAGCTTGTGCTTAGTTCACTGCTTGGACATCCAGAAGTGAGGTAGAGTTGTGACATCTGTGCTCACAGGGAATGCAGAGGTCTGTGGTTCTCGTGCTAGGGCACACTTTGCTTTTGCATCAGCTGCTACAGCCTTTGCAAGCCGGCAACTTTATTTTTATTGGCTTGAAGTCTAGGAGCTGTGAGTCCAAGTTTGCTTTTTAACTAAACAGGGTTTAACCAGAGAAGGAATAAAAGCATCTAGAATTTCTGTTCCAGATGCTTTTTATTTTTCCTAAATCAACTTCGCTAGCAGAAAAGTAGTCTAATAATATAGAGGATGCTGTTGTTTTTTTGTGTTTTTTTTCTCTAGAAGAATAATCCATGGTGTTGGCTAGGGTTTCTGATTGGCATTTGTTCTTATTCAGAACAAATTAGCTGTTATTTACATATGAAAAGGCTCTAGCCACTGTGTGTACATTTAATAACTTAGTATTAATTGGAAGTATTTTTATTACCTGTTGTAGCACATCCTAACACTTCCTCTAAGCTCTGAATAGATACAGTAATGGAGCCTTCCAGAAGGTGATTAAAGGTGAGAGCTTCCCTCTCTCCAGCTCTTAATTTGAGGGGACCCCTTCTAACTTGGGCACCAGTCAGGTGCTTGGGACTAGGGAAGGATGTTAACTGTGACTGTACACATGATTCCTGTGTGGGTAAAAATCAAATCTTTAGTATTCAGTACAGTTTGAATATTCTGGGGTGCTCCAGAATATCTCACAGAATGGATATGATCCCTCAGTGACATGGTTTAGTGGTGGTTTTGGTAGTCCTGGGGTAATGATTGGACTTGATGATCTTGAAGGTCCTTTCCAACCTAGCTGATTCTATGATTCTATGATTTTATGAATATTATGTGAATTAAATTGCATCCTCAGTATTTTGCACCAGAAGCATATGTGAGTCAGGCAGTTTTGCACTCTCCATATTCTGCTTTTCCAGTGCATGCCATCACAGATTCTAAGTCACGTGCTGCATGTATGACAGCCTATCTTCAATGAGAGGCAGATGCCTCATTTTTTGTAACGGCTTGTACACACTGGCAGCAACTGTCAACTGCATCTTTGAGACATGAATCTCATATGTGGTCTGAGATGAGCCCAACTTCTTACCTCCCTCTTTGGCCCTCAAGTGCAGCGTGTGTGTGCCAGATTGCAGAAGGAGGGCATGGCATCCCGCTGCAAAACCAGGTGTGTCCCTCCACACATGTTGTGAACTTGGCCAGCCTTGATCTATGCATGTTCAGTTCAATAAGTTTCTTCCCTTGCACTCAGATTTTTGTTCCATGATCAATGACTAGTCTTGCCTTTGACATATTTTAAGATGCATTGTTAGTTTTGGCTGGGGGCTCCCCTGTAGTTTTGTACTGATGTGCAAATTAAACACTGGAGTTGAAGATTTTTCTCTTTACAGACAAAATTCAGTACTGTAGCTCCTTTACTAAAACAATTGTTTCCCTAAACTTTTGTCATATTCTAATGAAGAAAATGTGCTGACAGTATTTACATATGGATAAGTGTGAATCAAGGGCTAGAGATTTCAAGGCTTCCAGGGCCTGCCATAATTATTTTCTGTTCCAGGCATCCAGGACTCATTCCTAATAGAAAACACCTCAGTGGGGGAAGGAGATGGAGATTTGTGCATCTATGAGCCTCATCCATTATGAAATTGAGGTATGGCTGGGATGTGCTGCCATCCTTAGGATCTTAAAGGAGCTCCTGGATCCATCATGGATGGCTTTCAGTAGTTTTGGAAAAATCTGGTTCTCTATCAAAATCAAGGATTTATATCACTGGCTAGAGCCAGCGGTAGTGCCAACAAAGCTGTCCCGCTGTGTTTGCTAGTGAGACACACTTCTGCCTACTGGTTCTGCAG